CTCTGGGAAGGGCTGCTCCCGCTCGCCTCCCCCCGAGCGCGCCGCCGATCTGCCTCCGGACCGCCTGCGGTCGGACCTCGGGCTGGAGTTGGGTCGGGCCTGTCCCCCTACAGTCGGGGCGGTGACCCAAGGAGCCCTAAATCAGGAACGAGGTCCCTTTTTTCTCAGAGGTTGAACATCGATGTCCCATGGAGAACCTCAGGAAGACCTGAGGCAAACTGTGAAACAATCAGGGAACACCGAGCCCCTCCCCGACGAAAAGGGTTCCTTCTTCAGCGCCCCGACTGTACAGGGGGATTTTGGGCGAAAAATCAAAAATCACTCGAAACATACCCCCCCAATGCTCAACAATTGTCCAAAGATAGTCCCCAGGCTATCTCTTGACTGCTTTTGAACTTTGCCCCTGTAGAGGGACAGGCCCGACGTAAGGCCAGAAGAGCAGCCCGCAAGAACACGAGACCCTCCGCCGGCCACACCAGACAGAACCGCCAAAGGCACCCTCCCCAGGGTGCACAAGAGCATCCAACGGGCACGAAGAGCATGAGGGTACCCTCGCCGAACCGACCTCGATATGATGCCTCGGTCCGACCGTACAGTCAAGCCGCATAATGAGGACGCCCGACAAGGATGCCAGGGCCTTGGAACGCCACGTCGACGCTTCGCAAGCGGGGCGCGGCCAGCGAGCACGGCCAAGGATGGGCCGACGGGGAGAGACGCAAGAGCACAGTCGGGCCGCTGTCATAAGGAACCCTAGGCCCCAGGTGAGGAACGGGGCCCACTTTTTCCATGAGTCAAACTTCGATCGAAAAAGCATTATACACAAAATATGAAATATCCGTCCGCCCCTGTAGCACGGAAGGTGGCCCTCCCGAAGGACGTAAGGATGCACTCCCGACCAACCCCCAAAAGCGTAAATGGAAAGAACGCAAAGACTAAAGGTGAGGAATAAAACGCCCCTCAAGTGCAACCGCGTCGTTGGGGCAATCTCCGTCCCACAAGATAGATCGAATGTACAGCACAACACACGTTCTCAGAAGCGCCCAATAAAATTCGGTATCCTAAGCTGTGGCGGAATCGATATTCCGACATAATGCTTTAATGTTGTCTGCGGCGACTTGCTAGAACAAACAACGTGCAGACAAAATATATGCGCTACAAAACGGAGCTGCTTTTTATACCAACGGGGGTTCCCGCAGCCTGCGTCGGAATCTGGATTAGGCATGCGGGCACGTTACATTCACAACATCATAGAGTCAAAATTGAGTGAGGGAACTACTGGGCATTATCTCGGCTCCAGATCCAGGCTCTCACCAAACGGGGATGGCCGACGAATCAGAGAGAGAGAGAGAAAGAACAACAAAATAATAATAGCGGAAGTTGCTTGACTCACGTGAGGAGGAGGAGGAGGAGGCTGAGGAGGGGGAGAGGGGAGGGGAGGAGGGGGAGGAATCCGTTCCCCTCGCGGCTCTTTCGACATGATGGTGGCACTCCCTCTCTTGCAGGTTCAGGGCTATCCTACAAACCCTGGGTCGCAGTCCTAGCATTGCACATGTGCGTCATTCGAGGCCTCTGTCTTCTCACATCACTGTTCTGCTGTACGCCCTCCTTCTCTCCTTGGCGAAACTTTTGACACGATGGGTGGCTCTCTCTCACTCGCAGGCTTGGGGCTATCCTACAAAACCATGCGTCGAAGCCCTCGGATAGAGCATTAACGCTGCAGGCCCGGTGCACTACAACACTCACCTACGGCTATACACCCGAGGCCGACTTAGATGGATGCCCAAGGCACTCCATCCACTCGCTTCGAGTCATGCATACAAGTACTAACAGTAGTACCGTCTCCTTTGTGCGGCCAGCCTCTACTACAGGCCAGCCGCACACAGTTATCTTGCACAGCGAGCTGCCCCTGTCGCTCTCACCCGCTCTTGCGCTTACCTCCTTTTGGCGACACCGGCTTAGTACCTAGTGGCACGCTCCCTCCTACAGTCGCAGACATGTCTGCATAGATTTGGCTGTCCGCAGACGCCACCTTTAACATAGTAGTATATACTTCTCTGCGCAGGCATCAGCATGCACATCTACATCAGGAAGCAATATGTACATCAACTGTTCCTTGTTGCTTTGTTTTACTGACTGCCGTTGTCACTAGATAAAGGCTGCCTCCACCAGTGCTATAGGCCCCACACAGAGCTGCTATCATCCCCGTCCTGTGCGGTTGCGGTGCTGTCGGCGGTGGAGGGGGTGGAGGCGCTCGCACTTGTAGGTTTGGGGTGGTCTTGCAAAACCCTGGCCCTGGGACTGCAAATTGTTCATCCACGCCCCCTGCCTCCCTACATCACTGTTCTGCCGATCACCCTCTCTCTTCCCTCGCGGCTCTTTCGACACGCATGGTGGCATTCTCCCACCTGCAGGTGCGGGGCTGTCCTGCAAACCCTGGGTCGCAGCCCCAGGATCGCACAGCAATTCTTCAAGCCGGGTGTACTACCGCATCTGCATACGGCTAGACACCCAAGACTGACTTTGATGGACGCCCAAGGCGCTCCATCCACTCGTTTCGACTTCTACCACACAAGTGCTAACAATAGTAACATCATTTGAGTACTCAGCCAGCCTCTGCTGCAGGCCAACCGCACATGCGGCCTCGGATCACAGCTAGGCAGCAGCATTTTGGCGACAATACGCCACTTCGTTAGATCTCACAGGGAATCAGTGAGTATACATTGGAAGCTGTATGAGCCCAGCCTCAGAGTACTAACAACACGGCAGCAGTACCTTTCTTTTTTCACGCTTCAACAGCAGACCAGACAGCACACACTCTGACATGTTTTGCTGCACCAGGCTACATGTGAGCAGTCTGCCCACGCACGAGCTCCAGCAAAACAGCCCGCACAGAGCGTACAGTTCACAGCGTCTTGGCAGCACCTAGCCACCGATAGGGCTCTTCCATCCCAAAGCCAGCCTCTAAAGGCCAGCCTGCGACACCTATCACAAGACTACCTTGCTGGACTATTTTGAAGGGGCCCTCGGACACACAAATGAATACGCACAAATATAAAAGGACTCCCCATGTTTTCCCATATTTTCGGGGTTGTTGTCTTCCCCCCACTTCCCATAGTTTCCCATACGTTCCTGGGAATCGACGATGAATTGCGTCTGTGTGCTTCTTTCCCTCCTGATACGTGGGTCCCTGCTGAACCCGAGAAGAATCAAACGAAAAACACGAGACGAGGGTCCCAGTGCCGATGTGGCTCGGGGTGAACCCAGAAACCCTGGGCGGCAGCCCTAGAATAGAAGAGGAAGAGGAGGAGGAGGGGGAGGAGGAGGGGGAGGGAGGGAGGGAGGAGGAGGAGGAGGAGGAGGAGGAGAGGAGGAGGAGGAGGAGGAGGAGGAGGAAACAAAAAGTGGCATAAACATAACAACTCGGAGGTCCGCGCGGATTTCTCGGATCGGCGCTGAGGCCCCCCGGCGGCGCCTCCGGCGCCGCCCCGGGCGCGCTCCGCGCGCCAGGGAGGGGGATCCAGCGCCGATCCGAGAAATCCGCGCGGACCTCCGAGTTTTTATGTTTATGCTACCTTTTGTGCCCCTATAGAACTGCCACAATTGAACTGCTTCTTTCAGCACTGCATGACAGCTTACGTGACTGCGGAGGTGGTCGATTCAGTGGTCTCGGCGGCGGCGGAGGAGGATCTCTCTACTTAGGTTCGGGGCTATCCTACAGACCCCTGGGTCGCAGCCCAAAGATTGCACGCTCTTTTCTTGGAGGTTAGGGGTGAACCTTAAAAACCCGATTGCAGGACTCACAGTGCACACTTGGGTCCCCGCAGGGGCTGACCCCTACGCTGCCTTACCTTGCTACAATGTCACAGTGCGCACCCAGCCACATAGTACTGGCAGAACAGCAGCAGCGCCGATCTTTAACTCTGGGAGGTGGGCGGTGGGCATTCATGCGTGGTGGCGGCGGGGAGGGTCTCTATACTTAGGTACGGGGTTATCCTACAAAACCCTGGTTCGCAGCCCAAAGAAGGCAAGCTCTTCTTTTGAGGTCAGGGGTAAGTAAGCCTTTCAAACCCTATTGCAGCACTCACATTGCACACTTGGGTCCACACAGGGGCTGACCCATACGCTGTCTTCGGATGAGAGGACCCAGTGGTTCATGAGGCCGGTGGTAGCGGACGAGTGCACTCACTTACGGTTTGGGATTAACCAAAATCATGCACAGCAACCCTAGAACTGCATAGTCAAAGTGGCGCCACTGCACTCTGCTTCTGCTTTACCTTTGCACTGTTCGCAGCATGTATCTAATGAAACTTCGCATTCACTATGTATTACTTGGTTTACGTTTTGGGTTTTCTCCACTAAGGTACAAGCTGCGTTACTGGCGGGCGCCTACTATTCTACCTTTGCTTTTCACTGTCTGTCATTACCGCCTTAGCCGCGGCGCCCGCCAGGTACCCTTTGCGCCGAGTCGTTTGCAATTCTATGTGTTGCAGCACTTCAAGAACGCAACACGCGTAAGCGTAAGGTCTGGCCAACGCAGAGAAGGAGGAGGAGGAGGAGGAGGCGGAGGCGGAGGAGGCGGAGGAGGCGGAGGAGGAAGAGAAGGAGGAGAGAAAGAATGAAGGAATACGAAGATGAGGAGGACTTCCTCCCCCGACTACGGCCGACCACCACCAGACTGGCACGGAGGAGGAGGAGGAGGAGGCGGCGCAGGAGGAGGAGGAGGAGGAGGAGGAGGAGGAGGAGGAGGCGAAGGAGGAGGAGGAGGCGGAGGAGGCGGAGGAGGCGGAGGAGGCGGAGGAGGATGGGAGAGGGAGAACGAGGAGGATGAGGAGAGGGAGAACGAGGAGGAGGAGGAGAGGGAGAACGAGGAGGAGGAGGAGGAGAGAAGGGGGCGGAGGAGGGGTCAGGAGGGCGGGGTCCGTGACCGCAAGCCCCCCCCCCTCGGCGGCTGGCCCGCGGCGCGCCCGCCGGCCGACGGGCAGGGCGGCCGAGCGCCCCGCCTTGCCGGCGTGCAGCTCCGCCTCGGCCTGCACGTTCTGGCCGGGCACGGAGGGGGGGGGGGGGGGGGGGGGGGCGAGGGCGAGCGGGGGGGAGGGGGGGGAGATGCAGAAGGAGGAGGACGGGAGAAGGAGGAGGAAGGAGGAGGAGGAGAGGAGGAGGAGGAGAGGGAGGAGGAGATGGAGGAGATGGAGGAGGAGGAGGGGAGGGAGAGGAGGAGGAGGAGGAGGAGGAGGAGGAGGAGGAGGAGGGAGGAGGAGGAGGAGGAGGAGGGGGAGGAGGAGGAGGAGGAGGAGGAGGAGGAGGAGGAGGAGGAGGAGGAGGAGGAGGAGGGAGAAGATGGAGGAGCAGGAGGAGGAGGAGCAGGAGGAGGGAGAAGATGGAGGAGGAGGAGGAGACAGCCTTTGATTGAGCAAGGCGCTGCGCGCTCCCTCAGTTGCCTGGGCTGGGGTGCCCTGGCCCTGTGCAGAAGCCGTACTTCGCGACGGCCTGGGAAGTAGGCCCTGCGCCGGCTTCGGGAGATATTGCCTCCCCGTTCTGGTCGGAGGGAGGCTTTGATGAATTCACCTTCGGCCCGAACATGGTCAGACCCAAAACCTCCGCTGACCTCGCAAGCGAGGACACGCTCCCGTTCCGCCCCCATCCCGACGTCCCACCGCCCGAGCTTGTGAGAGGGATGTGCCTTGGCCCCTCGCCTTTCGGGCCCCATTACCCATTAACGAGCGGCGGGGCATGGGCGGCACAGCTGTTTCAGCCAACTAATCCAGACGAGTTTACCTTTGGAGGCGGGCTCCGAGCTGCACTCGACGCACTTCCACCGACGCTTGCGGAGGGCGTGGCGTGTCGCAGCCTTACCCGAGGGGAGGTCGAGGGGGGGGCTTTGGCCCGCCCCTCTTCAGCAAGGCCATCCCCGCGGACCCGGGGCAGGCAAGAGGCATGGATGGGCAAAATGAAAAATCCTATGCCGATATGCCGAATCGTTTTTGCCTCCTTATCGAATTCTCTCTCTCTCTCTCTCTCTTAAAAAAATGCGCCTCCCCCTCGGGAACCTGGGCCCTGGCCGAGAAACCCCCGTCGAGGGTGTTGGCAACCTCGTTAATCGCCGCAACGCGGAGAAGCTCTCGACTAGCCGAGAGGTGAGAGGCGACCTTTCGTCGTCCCTGCCCTGAAGGAGACGTTTGACACTGCACCAGAGGTCCTTGGGAGACGTGGGGCTCCACCTGCCTCGCAAAGCTTTCGGTAAACCTCGAACAACATAGAGGGAGTCGGTGATGTAGCCCAGGTTTCTGCCTGGGGGGGCTCCTGAAGCCCCGCGAAACGCCAAGAGCTGCACCTGTTGATTCCTTGCCTGGGCTCCGGCAGGGCCCCCCCCCCAGTGGGGGTTCGAAGGAAGGGCAGCGGGGTCGGCTCCATCGGCACAACAAACAACAGCCTGTGAAGTGCGTTGCAAGCCCGGGTGAGACGAATGCTGCCCCCCCGACGCCTCCCCCCCGCCAGAGCCAGCCCTCGTTCAGCAAGTGGCCAAGGGGGGAGGCGGAAATCCCGGGAGGCAGGGACGGGGGAGAGACCAGAGTCGGATCAGGCAGCACAGTCGAGTCATCTGGCGGTTCTGTGAGGCGGGTCCAGCTCGCGGGGAGCAGGCCACGGAGCCAAGGACATGGGGCGGTGGTTACTCCTTGCTTGGCATTGTTCAGCCAGGCGGGCCGTGCCTGCGCATTCCACCGTGTCTGGATTGCAGATACATCCCCAGACAGTGTGGAAACCTGTCGCAAGGCATCGCTGGCATCGGCGGCAAATGATGGATTCAGTGTGCACGCCTGCCTGCTCGAGGCGGGTCATATACCAAAACCTCACCGTAGAGACATTACACAGTCCACCACAGAACTCACAGGAAACATTCTTGTCTAGAACCTTCAAATGCCTACAACTGTCCACCGTGTCCCCGACGTCTTGGAGATACCTGCCATTGTGGTGCGCCGACGCGGCCTTCCAGAGGCCGTCCCGCAGCGTGGCCTTGACAAGGCCCGAGCACAGTGGACCAGTCAGGGTTATCATCCCAGGCCTCGGGAGGGACATCGTAGAGATCGCCGTTCGGGTGCCTCCAGGTCCAAGGGCCTATGGCATCCCAGCCAGCCGTGCGCAATACACATCTAGCGCCGCCGATGCTCCCATCAACCCTCAGCCACTTTCTCCTGGGCCCTGGGGCCTGACTTGGCCAGCCCGTCGAAGATGCACCTACACCCTGCGAAGTGCTTAAGAAATCATGGGTTAAGAAATTCATAGTCTCAGAAGTTGAATAAAAGCCGAACATTTCTATTAACATCGAAAGATTTACATCGAAAGGTTAAGAATAATCGAGACTCTGGCCGAAAACTTAAGTTTTCTTAAGCATCGCCTAAGGTGTAGGGCAACTGCCTTCGCGCGTCGCGCTCCGCGAAGCACGATGATCTCGGCGCTCTCGCGCCGCCGCGCCCCCCCCCCGCCCCCCCCCCTCGGCACAGGACGAGGGACTCGCGCCTCGCTCCGGAATCGCCCCGACCGCGGAGCGCGGAGCGCGGAGCGCGAGTCGCATGAACGCGCCCGCGGCGGCGAAGCTGCGGACCCACCGGCGAGAGAACGGCATCTCTCATCGGGCCAGGGGAGCCAGGAGCGTCGAGGAACCCTTCGACGCATCTCTGCAGCACCGAACCTCCACACTCCGAGCAGCGCAGCCTCGAGCCAATGAGCCTGACTCCATGCTGCGGGCCTGGGGGCCAAGAGGCACAAAAGAGGCCCCGAGAGGGCGTAGAACGGCCCCGAGGAGGCCCCAAAAACCGCCTCCAAGAGGCCCCCGGGAGGCCTCCCACAAGATCCCAGCGAACATCCAACAGGATTCACACCCACGACCCAAGCACGGTGGCGGGATGGGCCGAAGGCCATTCGATCCGCCGCCCCCTTTTGCTTTAGCAAAGGGGTGCCTGGCGTGTTAAATCCTATTGGTTTTGGTTCTTTTTCCAAAACCTAGACGGCCCAAGAGAGTCCAAGACGGCCCAAGACAGCCCAAGAGGCCCCTCAGAGGCCTCCAAGACGGCCCAAGAGGCCTCCAAGAGGTCCTCCAGGAGGGCCCGAAGAGGCCGACATCATTGATTTCCCTGGGGTTTTTGAAGGATGTTGGTATTTTGTCTTCTTCTCGGCATTCCGACGGCTCAAGACGGCCCAAGAGGCCCCCAAGAGGACCCCATGACGGCCCAAGTGGCCTCCAAGACGGCCCCAAGAGGGCCCCAAGACGGCCCAAGAGGCCTCCAACACGCCCAAGATGGCCTCCAAGACGCCCAAGATGGCCTCCAAGACGGCCCCGAAGCGCCCCAAGAGGGCCCCCAGTCGGCCCAGAAAGGCCCCCAAGACGGCTCCCGACGGCATCAGACGTGCCAGGAACCCACCAAGATGGCCGAAGTTGGCTCGAAGCTGGCCCAAGACGGCCCAAGAGGCCTCCGAGAGGGCCCCCAGGAAGGCCCGAAAAGGTCCAAGTCATTGATTGTCCTAAGGTTTTTGACGGATTTTGGCATGTCCTTCGTTTCGGTCTTCCGACGGCCCGAGACGGCCCAACGCCCAAGATGGCCTCCAAGACGGCCCTGGAGCGTTCCAAGAGGGCCCCAAGTCGGCCCATAGAGGCCCCCCGAACGGCTTCCGACGGCGTCAGACGGACCAGGAGCCCACCAAGACGGCCGAACATGGCCCCAAGATGGCCCAAGAGGCCTCCAAGAGGCCTCCAAGAGGGCCTCTAGGAAGCCCGAAAAGGCCAAAATCATTGATTTCCCATGGATGTTGGGAGGATTGTGGCACTTGCTTTTTGTTCTGCCTCCCGACTGCCCGAGACGGCCCAAGTGCCCCCAAGACACGGCCCCAAGAGGCCCCCAAGACGGCCCAAGAAGTCTCCAAGACGCTCAAGATGGCCTCCAAGATGGTCCACGAGCCCTCCAAGACGTCCTCCAAGAAGGCCCGAAAGGGTCAAAATGGCCTCCAGACGGCCAAGATGACCTTCAAGATGCCCACGTGTTCCCCGAAGGCTTTCCAAACCGATTCGGGGAACACATGGTCCGATAGCTCGGCAGGTCTGGCCTCAACGTTCGGCCACATAGGCGAATCCAAAAAGGCAGGGGGCGGCGGTGATTCGCCGAAGGCGTCTTCCATCCGCCGCCCCCTGTTGATTCATCACATGGGTGCCCGGCGTGCTAGACCCTTTCGCTTTGGGTTTGCTTCCTTTCCCAAAAAACTCCCACTGGGGTTTCGGCCCGTCCCGCCAGAGATGCGTAACAGGTGGTTGCAAAGGGTTTTTCGGCTCCAGATGGCTCCAAGACGGTCTCCAAGATGATCAAGATGGCCCAGGATGGCCTCCAATTCCGCCCAAGATGGTCCAAGATGTCCCCAAGACGATCCAAGAGAGTCCAAGTTCGCCAAAGAAGGTTCAAGATGGCCTCGAAGACGGCCCAAGAGAGTCCAAGACCCAAGTTCGCACAATAAACACCTAAGGCGGCCTCCAAGAGGCCTCCAAGAGGCCTCTTGGAGGCCGTCTTAGGTGTTTATTGTACGGCTTCCAAGACAGCCCTAGCGGCCTCCAAGAGGTCCTCCAGGACGTCCCGAAGAGGTCAAAACAATTGGTTTTCCCTTAGGTTTTGAAGGATGTTGGCATTTGCTCTTGCTCGGCATTCCGACGGCTCAAGACTGCTCGAGAGGCCTCCAAGATCGCCCCAAAATCGCCCACGAGGCCTCCAAGATGGCCCCATGACGGCCCGCAGGCCCCAAGACGGCCCCAAGAGGGCCCCAAGAGGCCTCCAAGACGGCCAAGATGGCCTCTAAGACGGCTAAGATGGCCCCAAGATGTCTCCAAGACGGCCCAAGATGCACCCAAGACGGCCTAAGATGGCCTCAAGGTGGCCCAAGACGGCCCAAGAGGCCCCCAAGAGGTCTCAAAGACGGCCCAAGAGGCATCCAAGAGGTCCTCCAGGAGGACCCGACGAGGTCAAAATGCCCCAAGATCGCCCTAGAGGCCTCCAAGATG